GAATTCGTCTTTTCGTTAAAGACTTTGATGGCGACAGCTCAAACATGAGAGGTTGAGCTTTATTAGCTCCACCTTGCGGAAATTCCGGTTACTATTATTTTACTTGCGGTACCACGTGGTATTATGAGGTACTATACGAGAATTTACGGTAACTCGCGGTAGGCTGCGTCAAGCGCACTGCTAAATAATGCGGTATCGCCTGCTCGTTTTGAATGGCTGCATCTGTATAATGCTTTTTCAATGACTACATGATGTGGTACAATACTCATTCTCTTCTAAAGCCAAAAATGACCAGAACACGTTCACGAAGAACTATTCAGTATAGAAAGGAAATCTAGAAACACAGAACAGAAAGCAGCAACGGCCAAAAGGATGCTGAATATCAGAAAGGCAGTTTGGCCAAACAATGGCTTTCATGCAGCGTGATCCATTGTCTTCTTCCTATCAAAATAATACACCGATTAAACTGAAAACAGTGACTTGGAAACTGGTAAATTGCACTGGGGCACTGCCAGTTCACAGACAGAAGGTTTCTGATGGCTCACTCCAACACCTGGTAAAGTTGGAACAAAACCATACCCATACTGCATCGTGCTGACCAGATCTGTGGACACTTACCATCAGCCTCTTCGATTTCAAAGTATCTGTAGTTGAAGTGCACTGTAGGAATATGGGGGTTTTTAGGATGGATAACTGAGCTGACTCCCATTGCGCAGAATGGCAGCTTTCCTGAAATGTGAAATTAAATACAGCCGATCACAGTCTTCGCAATAAACATGACATATGTTAATGAGCAGTTTTGGGGTTGCAAACAGCATTACACATTCTTTGAGAAGTTTAACGAAAAGTGCAGTCTTGGTGCCAGAAATAAGCCGACAACTAAACCATCAAACATTTAAGATGGGTGTCTGCCAAGTGTGTCAACCTATGAAGGTGCTCACTCCAACCTGGTAGCACTGACATGGATGGCCCAAGAGGTAGTGCACAACAGCAGCTCTGCTTGTGTCTCTCCTGATTCCCAGTGAAACAGTGACATCTGACCTGCCTCTCTTCCAGTAGGTGTTGAGTGTCCAGAGCTTACAGGGTTTCACAAATTGAATGGCTGGATGGACAGGTGGGTTAGAGAAGCCTTCCTGCCTGTATCAAAGCCCTGTGTGCTGTTTATTTTCTGTGAATCAGTGGGAAACCGAGGCTGCAGTATCCCCTTTCCAACGTTAGGTGGCAGTGAAAGATATCGGGAGTTACGCAACAGCACAAAAGCTCACTGAGGGAATCTGCAAAGAGTATGAAGAAAACCTTGCTTTAAAAAAAAAAATCGTAAAACACAAGAATTGGAAAAAAAACATTTTTTGTGTGAAAAAAACATCTCAAATTGTCCTGGAAATTGATGGCACATATTTGTCCTGTGGAGGAAGTACTTCAGGCAAAACTTCATATTAATATAGTAATATAGTTTTTCCATATTTAATGAAAAAACTATTTGACAAGTTAGCCTAATGCTTTACAATCTACGAGCCCTACATTAGAGAAACCTACATACCACTACATGCAGTAAAACAGGACAAGACTGGCAAAGGCGGACACGGCTACTGCTGATGTTGATGTTGAAGATGGGACTTGACCCTCTACAAGTCATACAAAAAGCTTTAAAATGATACAAAGATTCGATGTGTTGCGTTGTAGCACAGATTAAACATCTGCTTTCAGCTTTGATCAGCTGTGATAATACAGTATCTTCAAGGAAGCTGACGATGTTCAAGAATGACCACTTTATCACTTTATTTTACTGTGCATTTCTGAAAATCTTCTTTCTCCACAGGACACGCATCCCATTGATTTCATTTTTTTTTTGTTTTCTGGTAAAACTAGTAACACATCTCCATACTTTACACAACAAATTCCTGCAATGGGCACCCTCATTATGAAACTGAATTTTGAGCTCCTCTAAACAGGCAGAATTACAGGAAAGCCTAACAGAAGCATGCGCATACTTGCAGTGGAAGCAAAAGGCTAGTTTCCTTCAAGCTCCCAGAGTGTGCAAGCCTGTCGCCTCGATGACCATGTGCCCGACATTGCGCCATTACCATCTCTCCCTTTGAGGACCTTCCCCCTGCTCCTCATCTGCTTGGCTGCCTCCTCCGTCAGGTGTCCGGACACTACGGACACGTTGACCCCGGCCTTCTCGAACACCCTGCCGTCCTGCAGCACACAGCTCACCCCGCCGCCCCCTGAGGACAGGAAACACCACTGCGTGACTCGTCCACTCTCGTGTCCCGGCGCGGACACGCGTCCAGAACACCCGCCATCTTAAACACGGCACATACCGCATGTGCGCTTGTAAATGCATTTTTGATCTGTTAACCTGATCTCCTTTATTTTATGAACGGAGGTGCATTTCTTTATGCTTCAGCACGACAGGATTCATTTAAAAAACGATTCTGGACAGTAAGGAAAGAGTAGAGTCTTCTGATTCTTCTGCTCTGAAAAGGAATATTACAGGACAGGCGTGATGATGCATGTAACAAATGTGAACACGCATCATGGTATGCCAGACTCGGCACCTAAACAAACTGTATAAATCCAACATCAATATAAAAAGAGGGAGGGAGGAGAAGGGAAAAGGGAAACCAGAGCTGTGAAAGAGAGAACAGAAGAGAAAAGAGAAAGAAAAAGTCTCTCAAATGCCCGAGGCAAACGGCGGGCTCTTAAAGAAAGTTAAAGACGTCTGCCAGGCAGAATTCAAAATGTGCAGTGGGGCCATGGAGGGAAAAACTCCCCCCCCACGGTGGAGAAAGTGCATCACATCCCTTATCCAGCGAGTGGAAGTGGGTACAACGGGTTTGCTCCAATGAAGCAAAATAAAAAAAATCAAACGGCTCGCTAGCAAAGTGGAAAAGGCCAGGGTGCCGAACTGAATACTGAACCCCAAAGATGGCTATTAAGAGGAGAGGGCTCGAGGGGCACATCTAAAAGTTTTGAAAGAGATCCATAGATAGATTACCAAAATTACTTCAGTGCCGGACAAGACCAGCACATGTGGAGGAGAGTAGCAGGCCTCTGCTTGCACTTATCACACCTACGATCAAAGTTCAGGAACTTTTCAGCCAGTTGAACCTTTGGAAAGTGGAAGCGGTGAACTATTTATTTTCACAAAAGATGTACAGCGTTCTCCAAAAAGTTGATTCTTTATTTACGTGAAGACGTCAACATCGCTGCTGCGTGACGGAGGGAACGCGTCCTGTTACACAAGTTTCCGGATGAAGCATTTTAAAATAATGGCTGGCGGGCTCACCTGCACCTAGAGCCGTGAAAAAAAACATACATCAAGGCAACAGCCTCAAAAGCTCTATGTTTATTACTGTGCAACCAGAACAGGACTGCTGTGATGTTTCGATTGTTGATGTCGTTCAGACGATACAGCATACTGATGGGTTAATGCTTTCCACTCAGGCATAGTGCACAGTGGATCAGTGACCACAGCCTGGCCATAGATACTGGGCGACACAGGCAGACCTGGCTGCCCAGAGAGGACAGGCTGTGCTCCCACTGCCAGCGGGGAGAAATAGAGACAGAGGCGCACCTCCTACTGCACTGTGACAAATATTTTGGGATGAGAGAAACATTCTTCCCTACATTTACTAATCTTATCCCAGAATTCCCACACAGGTCCCAATCCTACTGGGAGAGGGAGGAGGGAACTCAGTTGAACTGGCAGCCCAGTATGTGATCTCCTGTCACAGCCTGAGGAACAGTGAGCCTGTCTCCCAATAATGCTCCATATGTTAACATATTGTAAATGTCTGTAAATGTCCGTAGATTTTTTGGTTTATGTTAATTGTATTTGTTTTGCTTTGGCAACACTGATTTTGCTAATTGGTCATGGCAATAAAGCATCTTGAATTGAAAACTGTTCGTTATTCTTATTAATATAAAAATTAATATAAAGAAGGTTCTGCGGCGTGTCTAATTCACTAACACGTAACGCGACAAAGTTTTGACCGGACCAGGACGCGCTGTAAATCTGTACGTTACAATGTTACAATGTAACTGGGCGCCCCACAATACTGTACATTCAGATTTCAGATTCCCACCCGCCCACCTAGCGGTGTGCACTTAAGAGGACTGCTAGCGGAAGGCTGTTACGACACGGCATCGCGATGAAAGTCATAGGTTCACTGACATGAGGAACTGCACGTAGTCCCGCGTCAGAGCACCTAGACAGCACCCAGCGATCGGGGAGCCCCCTCCAGCCGGAGAAACACCCGTCTTACCTTCTTTCCTGTGCCACCTGTCCACCTTGAAGGCGCCGCCGTCCACCTCGGCCAGCGCTTTGCAGAACTCGGCTTGCGTTTCCATGATCAGCATTTCCATCCTCGTGGTCATGTCGTCCTTCTTCCTCTGCAGGTCCCTGACGTCCGTCACCGGCGCGGACATGAAACCCTTGCACCTCTCCAGAATGTCGCCCTCCGCCTCGTCGCCCCGGGGCTTGGACCTCATCTCAGCCCGCTGGAAGTGACACACGCCGGCCAGGAGCCCGGCCACCGCCGCGGCGCCGGCGGCCACCAGCACTTTCTTTCCGTAGCCCCTGCCTGCCACACTAGAGGACCATCTCACCGTGCCGTGTCTGAAAGACGACAAACCCTTCGGCGAAACCATGGTTCCGAGAGGGTACTTCGGCACAGCTGGTTTCACATGCGAGGTTGCAGCCCTCTCGCCTTTATATAAACACGCGAAAAGCCTTCCTGCGCAGCGGCCCGTCCTATTCACCCCAAATAAAAGCACGGCAGACATGCTGTCTCTAACGTCCACTAAATTGCAGGGTTGCCAAAAGCCAAACCGCAGAGCAGCATGAACTGTCTGCTATTCCCGCAGCGTACCACTTCTTTTTCAAAACTAGTTGCAACAGCGTTGACCCAGCGATAATTTCAACCACACAGCATCATGGGAAACGGAGTCCGTGGGGCCCTTTCGCCCCTTTGCTGGGGCGCCCTGTTGGGGAAATTAAACTACAAACCCAGAAGCCCGTGCGCCGCGGTCGGGGTGCAGCTGATAAGAAGTGGCCGTATGCAAAGATAAAGGAGAAACTGTCTGAGGCGTCTTACTTTAATGATGGCACAGTGTTCTGTTTAATTATGTCATTCGTTAACTGTTTCGATTCTAGTCTTCGTAGGAGAGAGAATAAGATAAACCCATATGATTGCAACAACGGTATGAACACGTATTTACAGTATAAAACTATCGTCAAACATATACTATTTGCCTTGCTTACACAATATTAATGTTGCTTGGGAACAAGTAAAGGTTTGTTACATGCCAAAAATAGAAAAAAGTGAGCTTTCTTTCGTGTGTGAACACATGCAACACACCTGTACGTGTTCCTTTGAAGCCTACGCATGCTGACGCAGCTCCCTCCTGAAACTATTATGCTGCTTAGATACGTTTCTCTTCGTGCTAAAATCAAAGTAACCAGTGCACTAACTGCGATGTTATACACAGTAGGCTGCTCGCTTTGACAGATACAGCTCTGTGAAGCGCCTATGTCTCCGGTATGTTTAAGTTGTATGACAACAGCAGCTAAACCCATCTGGGGAGTCTTGGAAAGCGATACGGCACAAGAGCGGACAGTCCACGCTGTCCTTCGGCTTGGCTTTTGGTTCCTCTGAAATTTCCGTGCCCTGCAATTTGCAATTTGGTCATTTACCGCACGATAGAGCCAGCATATCCTTTCATTTGGTGCGAATTAAACCGGTGCGCCCCGCAGGGAGACCTTTAATGGCCTTGCTATAAAGGCGAGGGGGCTGTAGTCTCACATGTGAAATCGTGGATCGTGCGGGATCGTGGGTGAACGTGTCCGTCAGACGGAGGAGGCAGCGAAGCAGATGAGGAGCAGGGGGAAGGTTCTCGAAGTGAAAGATGGTGATTTTCCCCCAACAGAGAAAACGTGTTCTGTGATGTTAGTAACTCCACGGTTGTCAGGCATTATAATAATAATAATAATAATAATAATAATAATAATAATAATAATAATAATAATAATACTAATTGCTTACCCTTAATTACTGCTTTTCTGGACACTCCACCCAAAGCTCACTACAGGTAATGGGGAACAGAGTAATGAAGAGATGGGGATAATTAGGAGGCCATGATTGGTAAGGGCCAATGGGAAATTTGGCCAGGATGCCGGGGTAACACCCCTACTGTTTTCAAGAAACACACTGGAATTCTTAATGACCACAGAGAGTCAGGACCTCGGTTTCACATCTCATCCAAGGGACAGCACCTTTTAACAGTATAGTGTCCCCGTCACTATATTGGGGTATTAGGACCCACATAGACTGCAGGGTGAGTGCCCCCTGCTGGCCCCACTAACACCATTTCCAGCGGCAACCTTACTGTTTCCCAGGAGGTCTCCTACAGTACATCCAGGTAGGCTCACACCTGCTTAGCTTCAGTGGGTTGCCAGTTGTGAGCTGCAGGGTGATATGGCTGCAGGCATGTGGTCACTGAGGTGACAGGTTTGTGAACTCTGGGAAAATCTGCAAAATACTTGAAAGAAACAGCCCTTTGCTTGCACTGCAATTGTGTGCATGATTCTGTTAGGTTTTTCCTATAATTCTTCCTATTTAGAGGATATCAAAATTCAGTTTCATAATGTGAGTCTGCATGGATATCAATTACTGGAGACCCTTGTGTGAAATATTGAGATTAATTACTAGTTTTATTAGTTAAAAATACGTGTGAAATCAACGTGATTTGGGCATGACCATCTCATCTTTCCTGAAATACAATATATGCAGTTGTCCTGTGGAGATAGAACAATATCATTTTATTTTTTATATATATAGTCAAATAAAGTAGTAATTCGTGGACATTGTGGTACCTACAGTATCTAGGCTTCCTTGAAGACATTGTAACAGCTGATTGGCACAATCTTCGGGTGTTATGTCTGTGTACAATTCAACACTCAATGTCATTCTAAATTCTTTGTAGGACTTACAGAAGGTCTAGTCATCTTCAACATCAGCAGCAGATGTGTCCACCTCTGCCAGTCTTGTCCTGTTTTACTGAATGTATAGGAATGTACAGTATGACATACTAAAAGTGCAGGCCCTTTTCCTCTTTAGGATACTGTAGTAGGAAGTCGGGAGCAAGTCTTTAAAATTGTTTCCTTACCCATAAACCTGATAAAACAACTTGCTAACCAATACAAAATAAAGTGGGGGTATATTGCTGCCTTTTCTCTGTATCTAATAGTATTCATTCATCTTAATCCAGTACCCTTACTCTACCTCTCTCTCCCACTTCTGTATGCACCCAAAGCCTGAGAAAACATGGTCAGCAAAACAACCACAAAGCTTGGCGTCAAAATCTTGCTAATAAGAAAGAAAGCAATATTAGTGACAGTTCACTTTGTCACATGATGTGAAATGTTGCCTCAAATACATCCTCCACAGGAGAAACACTGTATATGTGCCATCAGTTTTTAGGAAAAGTTGAGATGGTGCTTTCACACACAGAACAACTAATTTTTTTCAACTCTTGACTTAGCTGGAAAAAAAAACAACGTTTCTAAAAACAAGTCTTCACACTCTTCTTCACACAATATAATGTCATTCTTTGATTAAACTTATCAGTTTTGCCTCAGGACCTGTAGCTAGTTTACTTTTATGATATGGTGAAACCTGCTTGTTTTGCCTGAGACCCTGCAGATAGATTACACTGCTAATGTATGATACACCACTTGACATTTCACAATCTGAGATAACTGGTCAAGCCCTGGTTTCGGATTAGACCCCCTTCCTTGTGAAATAACCTCTGTTACAGTGAAATTAGTTCACTGACAGCTGAAGCCATTTTCTCTAATATTCTCCTGACATGTGTGAACTCTGATTTATTGTTCTGTCGCAGTCTCTAGAGTGTTTCTGTACTGTTGCCTTGCTTTCTAACCCCTTCTCTACTGTACACCGTACTGTAGGTCCTGTTTCTTTGTACTTTAGTTACAGTGAAATATCTTACATTTTTCTTAAATATATGCAAATCCAGTGTGGACTCAGCAGTTTGAAGACTTGGCTGCACAGGAACATGTTTACTCAAGGTAGAGATACGTTGACAGCAATCATGTAGAAATTTCTGGTTTCCTAACGTACAGAAGTCAAACAACACTACTGTATGTTCATGTTTTCCAAGTGTCAGCAATATTTTACAGATAAATCTACAGTACCTTGTTTCTGGGTTTTCTGAGTCAGTCAATAACAATGACATCAGTTGCCCATTCTGTATTTCACGTTACGTAACTACTTTAGTCCTGTTATCATTATATTTCGTTAAAAATTTACTGGTGACATACTTGAAATTACTCCTACACATTTCTATTTAAATAATGACACCAACTTTACCCCAGATCTACAGGAAAAGCCAACTCCCAGTAGTTTCTTGGAAATAAGACAAAAATGGAAGCACTTCATTCTTTAAGGTACAGTATGAGGTATGAGGTATGTTTTAAGGAAACAATGAGATTAAGTCAAAAGTGTTAAATCAGATAATCTAATCTCTATCCCAGTAGGGTTCCATCACCCCTTTAGGATCTCTTGGGCATTGTCAGTCAGTTACATTTTCTAATCTCTTGTAGTTCTAATCAGATATAGTCTTTCCAAGAGCTCACACTGGCGACATCTCAGCTATAACATTTGACCAGGTGGGTGACTGAGCGTCTTTAGCGGCAGAACGACTCAGGTATCTTACATTTCTTTCTCTTAAGGTTCATTACATTCTAAATCGCAAATCAGCCCAAACTTGAATTTATAGAGTTTGGGTGAAAAGTAAAGTTCACCTAGAGATTTAAACTAGTTTAAAAAATACAAGGCTCAAAAACAAAGTATCTTCTTTAGCTGTCATTGTGTAACATAATGACCTGGCAGTAGGTCTGTCCAATGACATGATTTCCCTATTTCCGAACACACATTTAGTAGAAAAACAAAAACCAAAAAAAATGAAAAGAAATATTTCCGAGAACTACTGGGAGTTGTCATTTACTGTCGGTGGTGGCAGAAACATCTTTTTTTGGCAACAAACTTCAATGAGCAAGCAAGTGGTAATCGGAAAAACTGTCACTAAGTAAAAGCCACCTAAACCTTTTTGTATTATTGCTTTTAGGAGTTAGCAAGATCATACTACATATTCCTAAACCAGATATTATGGTACGTAAACCTTTATGGTCCCTTGAAATCACACTAAATGAACAAGTTAAGCAATTCAGTTTCGTTGCAGCCTGTATTTGTGAATTTTAAATCTTGAGTTAACTAAGAGAAAAATGTAGAATCTGTCCTGTATGCATATTTTTTTCAGATATGCAGTACACAACTAAATCATGTACGTATAAGTTATTTAGTGAAGGAATTGAGATACTAATGTAGATGTACTGTTAATGTTAGTTATAATTGAAACGAAGGAGTCTTGAATTGTTCTGTGTTCCTAAATGTGAGATTAAAATACAGCCCATTGATGGAAAAATGAAATATTTGCTAACTTTTTCTAACATTTCTTTGTTTTAACTAGTGGTTTATTGTATTAAAGACTTTCAAAGAAAGAACTTGACATGTACTGTATACAGTATACTGTATTAAATAGAAGTAATTTCAAAGGAACTAAAAGTTATTTGTCAAGGCTTTCAACGATTTGCAAACACTAGACACCACTCTTTTGTGACATGAAAAGTCAAAATAATATTTTAAATATTTTAAATTAATAATAATAAGGCGTAATAAGCTGGAAAGAGATGACAGGAAAAATGACTTTAAAAAACAGTATTTCTACAGTTCTGAAAATTAACACGCTAGGTTAAAAGGTTGAAAGGTTAGATTTAGTCAGTCTTTTCTCAGTCTCAGTGTAGGGATGATGTGGCTCCTCATGTTAAGATTGAGTTAACTATTCAATGTAGCCCCATACTCAATTGAGGCAGGGGTTGCAAGATAATGGTGATGTTGCAATGCTGAGCTCAGGGCAGTGAACACTGGCGGGGGGGAGCTGGATATCAGAACTGTTGAACCTTCCCCACTCGTTGAACCTTATCAGTCAATAAAATAGCAGTTCCCATGTGCAGTGTGTTGTAGACCTTAAATTAATTTGAGTTCACTCTGGGCTGTTTAAAGCATATAGGTGTGTACATTTGTGGCGCAGTTCCTAGAGATCGAGGGTGGTTAAGTGTGCTCTCTTAATTCTGTTGGGGCTTTTCACCAGCAGACTGTTAGACTGATACGAGGTGATGGCACAGTGTGGGCTGGCTGGGCTCTTTGGGTGTGACCCTGAAGCCTGTATCTGACTGATAAAGTGGAAAGTTAGAGTTTTTTATAAGATAACCTTTATGTTCTGTCTGTACAGTTTTTGGGGGTAGAAAGCCTACAGCCAGAAAGTAGCTGATCGATTATTGTGTCTTGGATGGTGTGGAGTGTCATACTTTCTGTTACGACCAAGAACATCTAGTGGTTAAATAAAGCTTAGAATCATTTTCAGACTGAAGGTCAGTGCATTTGTAGTGAAAATGTGTCCAGTTGTGTCATGAGCCTGCAGAGATCAAGAGGGACTTAATTGTCCATAATGGCAAAACTGCCTTCACTGAAGTGGAATATAAAGGGTGAAAGTGTTCTTAAGTACTATATTCCATCTCATTTAGTAGTTTTATTGATGGTATATCAACAGAAAACAGAGACTTCCCATTTAAGATAAATATGAATCATTTTCTTAAATTTGTAATAGATAAAATTAAGATTTTTTCTTAATGTTTCAAAGCCATTTTATTACTGGCATTTTTTTTAAAAATGAATCGTAAAACCTTTCCTCTTTCAATGGAGAAGGCTACCTACAACATAATAACTACTGTCATGGTTTGATAGAGGACAGCCAGCTGTCCTGCGACTTCAGTAAATGAATCGCATGTCTTGATGTGACAGGTTATAGAAGGTGGAGTGTCAGATATTACAGCTTTAGTGATGAATGAGGCTTCAGAGCTGGTTTTTGGACATTCCTTTGCCTTGTGCTGCAGGTGTGACGAATACTTCTTCATCAAGCACCGGGGGGAGACGAGAGGGATCGGGGGGATCTTCTTTGATGACCTGGACTCCCCCTCCCAGGAGGAGGTGTTTGCCTTCGTGAGGAGCTGTGCGAAGACCGTGGTGCCCTGCTACCTGCCCATCGTGCGGAAGCACCTGGGCGATACCTTCACCCCGGAGGAGAAGGGCTGGCAGCAGGTGCGCCGAGGCAGGTGAGAGGCCGGGGGAGGAGAGCAGCAGGCCGAGGACACAGCTGCTCCAGCCTCTCGCGCGCTTTTGCAGTTCTGAGCCCTGCAGTCATCACTTCTGTTGGGTCCCATTACGCGAGACGCTTCTGTTCCGTTGGTTCTGCTTGGTATTTGCACACGTGACATCGTTCTCTTGCATCTGGAGTAACTTTCTCCTGGCTGGATGTGAAAGTCTCATCCGAAGACCCATAACGCCAAGCAAGGCAGCTGGTACTGAGGCAGTGAGCCAGGTTATGATGACTCACTCTTCAACTAGGGAAGTCATTACATTATTTGGAATAGCTGAAATAGTTCCCTTCGTGTTTGTACTTTGCATAGTTTAACAGTAATAGGGCAGTAATAGCAACATCTGACAGCTGTTTTTCTAACATCTAAGCATTGTCACGATAGGCCCTTTTGGGGGAAAACTTCCTTTTTCTCGGTACTTCAGTTGTTTCATTTTCTCCTAGTAACTGTAAACTTAAAAAGAAGATGTTCCCTGAAACTCATAGTATTTTCACAGCATTTGGAATAATTGAAATATTACACTTGACATGTCTGCTTTGCATAATTTATCAGTAATAGGAAAGTAAAAACAACATCTGACAACTCTTTCTTGTCTAACATGCAAATCTTCTCCTGAAATGTCCTTTAATCAGTGCTTCACCTTCTCACTTTTTTCCTCTTAAGTGTAAATTTTTAAAAAAACAATTTCCCACGAACCCTTTTCCACATGAACAAGTAACCACACCTGTGTGTTTTCTGCTGGCATCTGGACATCTGCATGGCCCTGCCTGCACTGAAGTGCCCCAAGTCATTCTGCTGCAAAGGTGGCGTTGTAGAAAAAAACAAATGTAAAGGTTTTGGGAGTGTGGAATAAGCCCATCCAACCATCTTGTTTAACCACACAGCATTACAGGGCTTCTGGAAAAGGCAGGGTGAGACTTATTGAACTGATTAGCTGTTAACTACCAAAATGAGTTATTATGGGCATAATGGGCATCACACCTGAAGAAGGCTCCACGGCCGAAACGTTGTGTTCTCTTTCTTCTTTTTTTCAGCACGGAATAAACCTATTACTTGTTCCTTTAATGCCCATTTGTCATTCTAGCTTTCTTCTGAATGAATGATAACCAAATTGGATTATTTTTTGCAGGTATGTGGAGTTTAACCTTGTCTATGACAGAGGAGTCAAGTTTGGTCTAGCAACCCCTGGCTCCAGAATAGAGAGCATCCTCATGTCTCTGCCGCTGACTGCCAGGTGAGGAGAAGCTATATGCAGGCACTTGCCTGCGTATCATATTGATAGTGTCACCTGACACTGAAGAAGGCTTCACGGCCGAAACATTGTGTTTTCTCTCTTTTTTTTTTCAGCATGGAATAAACCTATTACTTGTTCCTTTGCAGCCTACGCATGCTGACGCAGCTCCCCACCTGAACTACTACAGCCCATATTGATAGTGTGTCAGTTCAGCTGTGAATGTAGGGTTGACGTGACCGGAACTGAAATACTGTGGTTGAGATCTTGTGAATGTTATTACTGCAGTTAGTCTTACTACTATTGTTATGTGAAATTTCAATTGAAAAGTACGGAAGAGACAGGACAATTATAAGGTTCTCAGCTAGACTTGTACTGTATATAAAACAAGCTATTGCAATCAACCATAAGAGCAAGAGACTGTGGAAATCATGTAATTATGTTAATCTTTTGAAACAATTTAAACAATATACATTCTATCTAAGGTACACCTACAATAGCACGTACTGTATACAGCAATTCATATTTCAAATAATACAGTACATCACGGAAATGCTCAGCTGACGCCCCAGGTAGGGTTAGGGCCTGGATGGCATGGTGCGCCGCACGATAATTATATCCCAAAACGGAGTCAGTCATATCAAGAGTTTTAACCAAACATTATTGAATCTCAGTCACTTGCAAGAGCATGATCAATGGTTTTGATTGTTTCCCACTCATACTTTTTGGTTTGGGGAACATATCAAAATCCGATGACCAGAGAAGTTCAAATATAGATCGCGGAAATGCTCAGTTGACACCCCAGGTAGGGTTAGGGTTAGCATTCACACACTATTCAGACAATTATTAAGCTCAGCGCCGGATTTTGGGACCCAAGTCAGGTTTAGGACGAGTGTTTTTTTTCTCCGATGCCCAGGGAGGTTCAGATATACTGTATCTCATTTAATCAACACAAAAATGTTGCTCTATATAAAACAAGTTTTTGGAACCAACCAGAACAGTTTCCAGAGAAAATTATTTTAAAAACATTTAATTTTATTTCTTTGAAACATTTCACATTTCAAATTATCGTCAAATATATAACACATCTAAGCATTATTCTGTTATTCATTTAAGATATGAAATAACTTCAGTTTCTTCCCTTAATCCAGATTTGTGCTTATGTGATATACACAGAACTTCTAAATAAATATGTTACAGGATGAGGCATTTTAAACAAAAAACTTTTAAGAAAAAGGAAAGTAAAAGGAAAATGCCATAGATTGTTTTGTAATGATGTTTCAGGTCGTCACATTTTTTTTCTCCTTCCCAGAATTATACAAAACAATAACTACATAACATTCCACTTCCAGTAACCAATCTGACAGCCAGCTGAATTAAAAAACTGAGGCTTTAATGATGTTTAAGTCCTAAAACACACAGTTTAAATTACCATGTAATGAAACAAGAGAGGCAAATGACAGAAAACTTTTCCAGGAGAAAGAGAACTAACAAGAAAATAACTTTTTTACATTCTACTCAGGGTACACTGAACACACCACATACTGTACAGAGATTTTAACAATTTACATTCTATCTAAGGTACACCTACAACAGCACATACTGTATACAGATTAAATCAGGTAACAGTATTTCCTAAACCTAATCTACAACATAAAAAAAAACAACTCATTTGAGGGAAAAAGATAAATAAAGACAACATTTGATTCTGTGCACACATCTTGTATTTGCCCACAGAACAGATAGCTATCAATCTTAAATATCTATTCTTGTACAAGATATTAGGGAAATTACATCCAAACTACTGTGCTTTTATACTCCTGTAGCCTGTCCTCAGCTTTTATCCACAGCTACTGTATGTTAAAGTTACAGTCGTTTAACTTCATCCTGAAACCCGAAGTAACACCAGCAGAGGAAGACCGCAGGACACATACTGTACAGTACAACATGAAGGAAGGGGCACAGACTATAGCCAGACATGGCAACAACAGTGCTTCACACAGCACTGCAAAAAAGCACAGGCAGTTGGACTTTCACATTGGCCCAGCTTGCTGTAATCCAGTTATGAACAAAGGCTCAATACTAGCGGAATCTTGTATGCAAATTATAAAAACCGATCTAAGTCTATTAGATCTGTATGAGTCTTTTAAGCTCTTTGAAATACCAATCCTGTGTTCTTACCAAACAGGAGGCTGACAACAAATTGAAAACAGCCTTTGTGATATAAGACTTTATGTGTCTAAGAAGTTCCTTCAAAAGATGCACAAACCAGACACTCTAGGATGCCCAATATTGTTGTTCTGTAGATGCCCAACTGCTAATAAGACCACTTGTTGTCCTAAGTTGGACGTCAGAGATATTAACCTACTTTCCATCTCTTTAATGGCTTTTAATTTCAGGGACCAGTTTGTCTGTAGCGATGATAAAACACCAGCCCAGCTAGGGTTATGTACACCATGATTCCCCATGACAACGGGCTCATAGCACACGTTTACGAAACATGCCATGTGTCACCGTGACTACCAAAATGGGATCAAGTTATACCAACAGCCTTTTTTGGGTGGGAGAACCACACTACCCACTCTACAAGCAAAACATCAATGACTGTAGTCTCACATGTGAAAGGTTTATACTTTTATGGTCCCTAAACATCCATATTTATGCTGTTCTTATAGTGAAAAATTGGTTCACTGTGGGTAATGACTTTCTAGATCTGAAATAGCGGGGCCCCCTGTACTGTTGCTGTGAAAGTAAGCAGATTCAGTAGTTTTCCGTTATGATCTGATGATGTGTGTGTTACACAATAAGAGTTTTGTATAATGAGGAACTAGGAATAAGCCCTTGAGCTTACAAAATTTCATAATTCTGATAGGCGGCTTTAAAATTTTGTTTCATAACAGTTTCATTTAATGCATTTTGAGAAAAAATGTGAAAGACAGTTGTAAATTCACTTGAAATTAGTACTTGATGTACAGGTAGACAAAAGGTTAAAAATGTTAAAAAGTTCACTAGCTTATTCATTCAATGTCCTTATACAGCTGAAGGAAGCACGGGTATCGAATTCAACAACATTGTTGGGTAGTATGTTCTCACAACCCTTCGAAAAAGGAAGGGTCTCCTACTCTAGGAGGTGTTTTACATGCAATTCTCTGTAATTTCCATTTGTGTTCACTAGCTTCTATTTCAATCTGGAGTTGGCCATGGGCATTAACTCTTTGTGATTTCGAGGGTTTTAAATACCTGAATCAGGTCTCATTTCACAGAAAGAACACTTAACATTCACATAATTCACACATTTTCTCAATATATTCCATGGGATGCGTGAAATGCTCTGATACATTATTTGATGCCCTTTAGTCAAAAGATATGGTCCACTGTCAAAATGCACATACAGAAGGTTTATAAGACAGTCGTCATACAGTATTTGTAAGATTTTTATGTAGCCTACCAAAGTTATGAATGAGAAGGACCCCCAATGGAGGTTGTAGGTTATTGTCAAAGGATGCATCCCCAGATTTTTTAATTCCCCAGAAATGGAAGTTAGAAAACATTCTTTCTCAAGTTGTAATGGGGATTATATATTTCATTCATTGAGATATAACCGTTTAAATATAAGGGCTCTTTTAAAGAACTGAATTTTCTGTTACTTTCCTGACAAAGCTGTCCTGTCATATTTTTATAATAGTGATAAATACAATTAGGAAGCTGGTGAGGCACTTTGAGATACGGCACCATTGACTGATGGCAGTGTTCTTATAATGTGCAGTTAAAAATATTACTTTATAAAGTATTGTTGAATAATCCTGATGTTGCTGATAAGGTTATAAGCAGAAAATACAGTAGATTAATAAATTATCATACTTATTACCAATATACACCTACTGTATGATTCAACATATTTATTCTGGGCAACTTTAATTCAAGATGATCAGACAACTATGCGTATGCGTATAGAAATGAAATCCAGAAAAAGTATTCATCCCCTTCTAATGATTTTCCATTTTGGTGGACCAAAAGAGATATTCAAGGTTTTTAAAGTTACTATTGTTATATTAAAACTTTGAATGCTCAAGTTGAAAACTGTTATGGGTGAAAGGAGCATTTTTTTGGAATAATAAAAAACAAAAATATTCTAATCGAAGAGCCTCATAGTCAGTGATTTTCAAGGAAATAATTAAACATGAAGACATTTCAAAACAATCCAGTTGTAGAAAAGGACAGAGCAGGAGCTAGTACAGTAAGTTCTTTCATCTCAGTGTCAGTTTATACATTCAAGTTGTTTGAAAACATATCCACTTAACAAAAACATGTATATGTCATTTTCAATTCAATTCTAATTGAAATGGGATATAATTAGAAAAGAGTAAATGGTTTTGCAGGGCACAGTATAATAATTATTTCATTAAATTTGCAATTGAGGCACTCCATAAAAAAAACATAATATTTTCAACATCTGTAATCACATGTTTTACTGAGAAACGTGTGGAGCACGAATTTCCCGATATGCTTTTTTAGAATGCATGACATCATGTACAAGAAAAAATTCCAGATAACATGATCTGTCAGAATGAAACTCCTGTAAATGTTTAAATAGTGCCTCCCGGACTGCCCAGTTATTCATTGCTAGGGAGGATTCAAACAGCAGTGAGAGAGATGGCTGAAGAGTCAATACTTTCATACCTCCAGGACTTCATTCCTGACTCCTTCAGCCAGAGGAGCAAAATCCTGGCTGGCCGATTCCTGAAGCTGGTGTTCGGAGTCCGGAATGACACCTGCAAGCTGCTCCAGGACATCGATGGCAAAGAGTTCAAAGTGGACCGCTGGGAACGGGCAGAGGGTCAGTGCTCTTGTCATCTCACTCATACTGCCTCATCACCTACAGTTTGCTAATTTTCTGCTCTGTTTCTGGTGAGCTGTAGTCTTCAGGCAGGAGTTTTAGGAAAAACACATGTGAATTGTTATTACTCCTGACTGCTTAAGTGCAGCCAGCACACATAGTATTACACTTGTATTCGGCATTATACAGTATGCATTTAACTTTAAAAAAGCATAATGAACAACCCTAAAACGCTGAGATTTTAATTATTATTTGGATTTGCCAGTTCTTCATTAGTTTAGTTATTTGCAAGTTTTAAGAAAAAAGAAATTGAGTGAAAAAGGACTTGCTTGTATAGCCACCTTCATTTCATGGACCCCTAGAGAAGCCCTGGATCTATACTAGTCTTGTTCTTTGAGAGGTATAAGATATCTAGTCTTGACAGATTTTAATTCTTTTGTCTTTTTCTTCCATGCAGGAGGAGGAGGGATAGCCTCCTGTCTTTATGAGGGCAACAAGTTCCTGAATGCGAATGTGGATTTGAGTGTGTTGCACGGACACATCCCCTCTCAGGCCGTTGACCAGCTGCGTGAGGCTGGGAGGATGTCCACAGCCTGGCAAAACGGTCAGCACTTCTGTTTTCTCATTGCCCAAACAGTCTCTGTCAGTAATTGGTTTTCATTATTATTTTTATTGATGGCATTATTAGAATTGAATTTGACTGTTTCCAGATCAACTTACCTTTCTTTACGGATGCAATCTCAGTGAACTTACGACTTGGCCCACAACCTGTCAGTTACAAATCCAGAGTCTGTGCATGTAGTTGTGCACATCTTCTTTTAAACAAAATTACAGTTCTATAATGTGGAACTTATGCATGTATAGATCTGAAACTTCAAAATATTGTAGCTTGAGTTGTTGAGACTTGAAACACACCAGTGTGTAAAGAACAAACTTTTATGCCTTTTACTATGACAAAAAATACCAGACCCAGTGGGTCTTTTCAGTTGTTGGGGAATCCTGTACTGCCTGCAGCTTTTAGCCAGCTTGTCTGTGTTCCCATTCCCAAGGCAACTGCAGGGCCACCCCTGTGTTCTCTCAGTTCAGCTCTGGATCAGACAACAACCCCAGTCTTAGTCAGAGTGTGTCTCCCCGCCAAACATCCAGTGGTGGCCACTACAATATATCAATGTATCTACTGCACCAGTGCTTTGAAATCAATATTTTATTAACTATTGTCTCGGAGAACTCCTGTCCCATGCTAGAACATTTGGTTTGTCATTATGAAAGAGAGCTTAAATATTTTCCATATTTTTGGGGACTGAGAACTTCTTACAAAAGCCAACACCTGCTCTTTCCTAAACCTGGTTGTTCTCTTCTCCCCGCAGAGGATCCTGAGTTCCTCGTCATTGCCGTGAGCTGTATTATTCACACCCGGAATCCTCATGTCCCCTCATACAACTTCAACCAACGGCTCTTTGTCATAAGAGTCAGTGATGGTAAGATGCAGCTTTAGAAGAGACCATCTAGAGAAGAAACAGCTGCTGTTTAGACACAAATATGTACTTTCTCATGCTCACATTATGCACACATTTTACATCTAAAGGTACCTTAAAGAGTAAATAATACTAATACTAATTATAGTAAAAATATTTCACATATGGATGAAGAGATTGGGTGTGATATACTGCTCTGTAATCAATAATATTAAGCCATTAATAATTGCTTATATAGGCCACTCTACAGGTAATGACTCCCCTCCACCACCCCCAGTGTGCAGCCACACCTGGATGGTGCGACGGCAGCCATAGTGCGCCAGTACACACCAGCTCTCAGTGGGCAGGAGAAAAGAGAACTGAAGCCAGTTCAGAGATGGGGATTATGAGTAGGCTATGATTGGTAAAGGCCAGGGGGAAATGTGGCCAGGACACCAGGGTAACACTCCTACTCTTCTTGAGAAACACCCTGGGATTTTTGATGACCACAGAGAATCAGAACCTCAGTTTTATATCTCTTCCAAAGGACAGCGCCTTTTTACAGTATAGTGTCCCTGTGACTATACTGGGGTATTAGGACCCACACAGACCGCAGGGTGAGCGCCCCCTACGGCCCCCAACAACACCTCTTCCAACAGCAACCTTAGTTTTTCCCAGGAGGTCTCCCATCCAGGTACTGACCAGGCTCACACCTGCTGAGCTTCAGTGGGCTGCAGGATGATATGGCTGCTGCCATTAGTACATTCTTTATCAAAATGTGTTTGAAAATTGGCTGCTGCAAGATGTTAGGCTTAGCTACAGTAGACTTTGGAATGACTCCATAACACATTACAATGCTGTGTCCTGTGTACATGAACTGCAGGCATATAACAGAATTAATTACCACAAAGCCACTCTTTTAGAAAGATGTTATTCACTAAATCTCACTGAAAGTGAAGAAATTTTTATTAGCTCCATTAAGTCTATTAAAGAATTCACTCATGTGGTACTGTAGTTTCCTAATCATCTGCTCTCCGGTTCTATGATGTTTGTCTCTCATTCAGTCTTCACTCATGTTTATATTTTAAAAAACTACAGTGATATCAGTAATGATGTTGTAAAAAGTAATGATGAGATAAAAGAGTGTGGGAGTTCCACTTCAATGGTACAGCACCCATTGGAAGCAGTTCAACCAATTAATCAATGATGGAGTAATTAAACAACATACATTTGTATGATTCTCCTGTGATCCATCCAGCTCCCAACACCTCACCTACCAGCTCATTAGCTGTAACAGGAGACAGCTGTCAGACAAATAATCAGACAAGCTGAGAGGACAGTGGAGTTTGTCAAGAACAAGCTGATAGAAAGTGATCATCTAGAGGAATTTTATCGGCACAGATGATTCTCATCTTGCCAAAGTCACTGTCTGAACGCAACAGAATTAGGTGGTCTTTCAGGTGGTCTTTCCGCTGTGTATTACATTCAGCCTTCACTCGGATTTTAATAGCTTCTCAAACGTGTGCTCTATTAATCATGACCCACTCCTGAAAGATTTCTCTGAAATGAACCAATCTGAGTAATTTCCACAGCAATATATTTCCTTGGTGCTGCTGCAGATAAGACATTGCTTTTCACATCAGAAGGACTTCACTTGTAGTGTTCATCATTGATTCAGGAGAGAAAACTCAGAATCTTTAATATCGACGAGTGACCCAGCTGCCCTGTTGTATCCATTGATGTTTTATTGTGTTCTTCCCCACAGGTTCAGAAGAGGGCTGGTTTGGGGGACACATGGATTTGTCCCCATCATACTTGGTCAAGGAGGATGTGATGAATTTTCACAAGACCCTGAAAGCTGCCTGTGATGAGCACGATCTCAGTTATTACCCCCACTTCAAGAAGCGGTAAATATTTCTTCATGTTCTACTAAATGATTGATTCTGTGTGTAATTAATTAAATGGTCCAGCAATTTTAATACATATTTTTTCCATCTAAGTGAGAAAGAGTTAAAACAAGTCAAGTTCAGATTGATCTAAACACAAACCATGCTCTTTGACTCCTGGACAGGTGTGATGAGTACTTCTTCATCAGGCACAGAGGGGAGGCTCGTGGTGTTGGGGGGATTTTTTTCGACAACTTGAACTTCCGGGACGAGAAGCACTTTGACTTCATGCAGTCGTGTGCCAGAGCCATCCTGCCTGCCTACCAGCCCATAGTGAAAGCACACCTGGATGAGCCCCACTCTGAGCAGGAGGACACCTGGCAGCTGCTGCACTACGGCAGGTAAAACTCACATTGTGGATCAGTCCATTCACGAGGCTGAAGAGTCCAGCTCTGACTTGTTTACTAGTGTATAGGTTATGCTGTCTAACCAGAAACACATCCTGTTACATTGTAATGTTGAACATAAACTCTTAAACATGGACTGAACTTTTTTGTTTTACAGAAGTTTGTTTTGTCGCATTTGTCTATTTTTCTCTTGGGCTTGACAAACAAGCAAGGACTTATTGCTATAATATCATATTTTCTTCCTAGATACATTGAATTTAATCTTATGTATGACAATGGCACGAAGTTTGGGCTTTTCATATCAGGATTCAGAATTGACACCCTCTTTGCCTCATTGCCCATCACAGCCAAGTGAGTATACCCTATGTAGAAAACATAGCAGACATTTCCTGTACGGTTACGGGGTTTGGGTCCCTACTGTCTCTTCTGAGATCAAAGCATAAACAGGTTGGAGACGTCTTAGAGCAGGGGTGGGCAGTCCTGGTCATGGAGGGTAGGTGTGGCTGCAGTTGCTCTAGGTCTCCAC